TATCGTGTATCTACATTATATTTTTTTACTTTATGAACATTAAATTAATATTTAATAATCAATGTGATAGATGAGCCTGCAAATCACTGCAGATTTTCTTAAATTGTAGCTTTTACAATATTTCGCGGCGCGCCTGCACAGTTGGGGAATCACTGGATTAAAGGATACATTGAATAGGAAGATTGGTGGTAGAAATTCGAATGTGAGTTTCTTATGTGAAATGTATTCATCCGATTTCGTTAAAGGTGATAAAAGAGTGGTAGTTCAATTTTTCCACATTTCTATGAATAGATCGTACAGTTCCATTGAATCAAATGTAGCCTTGCTTCCCCAATGGCATTCTAGGTCTTATCAATACTCCCACGGGGTTCGAACCTTGATAGTGCAACGTGTATTCGCGACACGTTAGCCACTACGCCAGTAGTGTCTTAGGGATGTTGACAAAACATAGGATCGCCGAAACCGCAGTCCACGAATATATGAAATTCATTGGAAGTGTCAAGCCAACTCATATCATTTTGGAAAAATTAAACAAATTAGGATGAAAACATCTAAATATATGGTTTACTGGTAGTTTAGAAAACCTACTTAAAAAAACGAGCATTATTTTTCCTTTCTTGAAAACTTGAAGCAGAAGAATGTTGCTGAGCCGCCTTCAACAAAAGAAGACGACTTAACTTGTCAGCAGAGTAACAGTTCTAACCGAATTCAGGCTCGTTCAACAAGCATGTTGAGCTCATCAACCAAAACCGAGGTGCACGCTTCTTCTTGGATCATTAAACCTTAATGCTCCAAACTAACGAGTGGGACTGGTGATTTCGTAATCTGACTTTTACGCTTGCAGGCTTACAACTCATCAATTCAATCAGGATTACTTACTGACTAATACTGACCTCTGTTATACATTGTTCCTTGGGTCACTAAGTTTTGAAAACCCGTGGTTGACGTCACGTTTTTTCTGATTGCTCTGAATTATGTCCGGTTTTGTGTGCAGACATTATCACACATGATCACACATACGCACTATAACATAAGTGAATTAACCAAACATTTCTATATCCATCTCTATCTGGATTTTTCTCGCAATTAGTATATATTCATATATCATATAGGAGAATGCCGATCAGTCTCTTAAATTAAGGCCAACGTGTGTCTTTTGCAAGAATGACTCCCACCTCTGACGATGTTCGTCAAATGTCACAACGAACGAAAGCTAAGCCCTTCTTCACCCGAAACGTGGACTGCATCAACATTAACGCCGTATTTAAGCCAAACGGCTCAAGTACGACACCAATCACCCATCCTTCTATGGTAAGAATGGCCTATGAATCTTTTTATCAGGCACTTTCATACAAAATCTTAGTGTTTTCAACAATCTTTTGGCTCTTTGTAAGTCGGAATTCATCAAAACAATGCTCCTGCTGGGCACACTTCGAGATAGACGCTTAGCACATTATCACGGAAATCGTAAAACAATGTCTCGAGGACTGTGTCCAGGCAAATGCCATTGGAAAACCTAAAGGGATTCCTTGAAAACTATTCTTTCTTTATGCACTCCATAGCTTCATTTGTAATTTTTTGCATTTTCAGTTTTCCGCTATGAGTCTTGATCTATCCAGTAAGTTTTAGGCGCAAATTTACTGTTCATTATTAAGGCTTAAAACAGGATTTAATAAAAATGATTTTCTTAAAGCCACATATGTATCGTTAATTGCCGTGACTACTACGCGTCGTTATTACCTTCTCAGATTATTACAAGACTTACACAGAACATTCAGGCGCCGTTCGGCCATATTCCATAGGGATTGATCACTTGGAGGCCATCCGGCCGGATAGTTTGTCCCTGAGGCACCGTCCGACCTCTCGCCTGACCATTCCGTCTTCTGCTCCTCTTGAATCACCCGATTTCCCTGGCTGACATCTTCATCCATTTCCCATTTCGGCGACTTCTGATCTCCTCTGGTTGCTGGGGTCAAGGGAACTCGAACCCCGATCCAACAGCGCAGGTAACTGGCGTGCATGTCACGCTCAATCGACAACTGGAATCGGTTGGCATCTGAATCTGGGCCGAAAAGATGGCGCTCCACGGTTGCTGCTTGTGTATCGTCTGACGCGTCTGGCGGGCTGGTGCCAGATGGTCCCGGAAAAGGCCTTCCCCGGCCAGACTCTTGTCGGTCGGACAAGCCAAGTTGCCATGGCGACGGCAAAAGATTGTAGCCCTCGCCTGCATGTGAGTGATCTTTCAGCATCCCGACGCCAAAAGGATTCTCATCGGTTCGCCGGAACAGAGTCCAACTGAAGGGAAAATGTAAAATGTGAAAGATACGGAATTGTATTGCCTAATCTGAGAATAAAATAGAACAAGACATGCCGTTTGGTGGGAAAACTACTCCTGAAGGTATATGCTCAAATAGAGCTTCGAAGAATACCCTTCATTTAATTTCTTTACCTGAACCAAGTTAAAGGTTATTTAACCCCAATTAATGTGATTTAAAAACTGATTGCGGATGTTCTTTCCTGCATGATTAGGTCTCACGATGCTTCAGGTCCATGCTGTTCATATGACAAACATTGTCAGAACTAAAATTCACTCTCGAAAATGTTTCAAGGTATCATAAAGTCAAGTCAAGTGGCGGCATAACAACGGGAATCAGCAGGAACAAGTCACGAAGCTCGTCACTGCGCAATTTTATATAAAATAAAATAATCCACAATAATTTGTGATTAAAGTCGACGAGACTACTATCAAACTACTACCAATTGTAATAATAATAATAATAATAATAATAATAATAATAATAATAATAATAATAATAATAATAATAATAATAATAAATAATATTGATCATGATGATGATGATGATGTGGATAGGCATGAGTAAGATAGCTTTTTGGAAGACAAGGTGGGTGGATGTGGGTTTCCACCCGCCTCTTAATACCAAATGAAAGCAATGCCCGTATTGACTATCATTCTTTCAATCATTTAAGCGACCTAGCAGACTAAATGACACTACTTATCTACTCTCCTTGATCATAATTAAGTAGAAGTCAGATTTTCCATGGTCTGTGACGCATCTGTAAATATATCCTTTCTCTGAATGCCTTAGATGACCCACATTTTCCAGGGAATCAATACCCGACTCTGAAAGGGCATACAAAATGATCTGCTCTAGACAACTTCACCCAGCCTTAGTGCAACTATGCCAACATTGCCCCGGTGCTTGATCAAGCAAATCTTGCAAAGCTTTGTACGGTCCTACCAAAATTACGTCTCTATATGAAAAGAAGTCAATTTTGTGAAATCGTAGGTCTACCTCATAGGTTATTATTCTTGGATTTGGAAAAAGGAAATTCAGTAGTTGTTTAGAGTCTTGCATATAATTACAATAAATAAAGTAACTAATATGTGAAGAAAAGTTAGTGTTTAGTAGAATTTCTCATTTCATAGTTGTTGATCTTACTTCCATTTTAAATGAAAGTGTTTTGGTAAAAAAATTTGACGGCCTGTCCCACCCGAATACGAATGAGGTGACTTAACTAGCCTTTTCTTGTCTTGGTCCTAATTACGATCACATATTATTACTACTACTCTTTTTCGCTAGTCTGATCAACATATGCAGACCTTGTGCACTTGAAGTGACGATTAAAATATATACAGAAATGGGGTGATGGTGGCAATTCAACTTTGATGCCCGAGAATAGGCACATTGTAGATACGAAGAGAAACTTGGTTTCGATGAATCTCTTGAGATATCATTGTTAGAGGGAACTTCATTTCGAATAAAAGTACATGATGAAGAGATTCGTTTGTCGTTCTCACCAGATGAGGACGGA